TATTAAAATCTACACCATCATTATATGCATACTCGACACATTAAAATTGTGCAACTTCCTCAAATTGGACTGGAGGTATGGGAAAATTTTTTAGTCTTTCGGTCAGTGCCTGGTGGACACTTCCAGCATCTTACTTGTTTATCTAATTCCAGTATAGTCTCATGCTGGAATAGTTTTTTTTGCAGTATTCTACTAATGCTGTTTATTGAGAAGTCTTTTATTTACGATTTTAATCCAAGGCTCCCACGAGATTTCTGGCACGAATTTTTTATATATTGTAGCCTTGTTATATTTGGACTTCCAGCATTGGCAAAATTAATAATTTAAGTATATACAATGACTTGTTGAGTAGAACGTAGACTTTGCGTCTATCGCATCAATTCCACCTTTCGTGATATTGTCAAAAGCAATGATTTCCAACTTTTAGAATTTTCGGTCGCTTTCGTATGGTGATTTGAAGAAACAAGAGTACATGCTTACTTTTCTTGGGGACACAGGAGACCATATGAGGTAAATCCGTAGAGATTTCTTTTTTTCCTTTCCTTTGCAGATAAAACTGTTTCATTTTCCTTCAAAACCGACGTAGCCTACTGATTAGAACCAGGATCACTTCATAAACACCTTTCCATAGTAAGCAATACTCGCAAACAGAAAAAAGCGCGAAGTGTTACGTAACTGGTGAGGTCAGGTTAAAGATACCTAGAATTCCTGAAATCTTCATAAAAGGCGAGCAAAGTTTTGCTAATGAAGCACAAGCACTAGACTTCAACAGACGGCATACGGCAAATTGTCTACTTTAGGACGACAAAAATATTTTCTACTGAAAAATTAATAGTTTCATAATCTAAGTAATAATTAAAATCATTGATTTACTTTAAGTGTCAAATATTTGGTGAAAACGATGTAGGTACCTCAAGAATCATTCTGAATCATCGCTATCTTCTATTTTATCATCATTGATATTATCAGCTCTGTCCATTGGCACTTCAGCAACATTATCGGGGAGATGTAACTTCCTTATGACATCTTGAACAAAGGGTTTTCATTTTTTTGTGTCGTTTTTCGGCAAAAAGATATTATGGGGCCCGAGGCAGTTCTTTACCCGCCTTTAATCAAAGTTGATTCAGTAGCATAACATAATTTTTCCAAAGGTACTTGAGAAACAAGATGTTTGACGTCTCTCTGTTTTGTTCTTAAAGAACTTTCAGCAAAGGGCTTTTTTGGCTTGCCCCTTTTTGACGTTGCCAATCCTGTTTGTTCAGTATGAGTATGAGTAAATCAATCAGTATGAGCAATTTGAGGCAGCTTTAAACTCCCTTTTAGCCACTGAGCATTCCTTTTCAAAAATCCAGTTGGAAACTTTCTACATGCTTTCCATCTCTAAAGCAATTTGGACACAAAAACCTTCATCACACCTTTCAATTGCTTTTCGAAGTTCAAAGATAGGTCAATTCGACCACTAAATTTGTTTTTCGCATATTTTAGGATTCGTTCTGTGCACTTTGAAGAAGATAATGTAAAGAAGCTTTCTCCTTGCAGCACCAGAAATAATGTTTCTCTATTTGCAGATAGTAGTAAAAGGCTTTCTGGAAAAAGGCTCAATTGGGATAGCTAATTTTTTGCATAATGAAATTGTAAGAGTTAAGTAAAATTTTGAACCTAAAATGCAAACGGTACTCGGCGGAACTTTTTTGTACCTGTTCTTTAATTCATGATGTTTAACAAAAAAATTATTTTTTAAACACATTTACCAAAACCTGGATTTTTCGAACTTGTAGCCACCGTAAATTATTGCAATAATGCTTTTAAGATCTACATACCTGAAGCTTCAAAATCCATTATAAAGTGTTTTCAACAATACCATCATAAAATAACAACACACTGATTTTTTAATAAAAGTTCAAACACAATTTTAATATGTTTAAAATAATATGCAGAAAAGTGTATCTTTAAACAGCACTATAACTTGCGCTATCGCAAATAAAATTATAATGTTTTAATACTTATCTATAAACGGCATGTTTTTTTGGGATAAGCAGAAATTTAATTTTTGTCGTCCTACGGGATACAAATAACCGTATGTGAGGCGGTAGACTTATGAAGATACCACCAATTACGGATTAAGTGGAAGATTCTGCTAATAACAATAAAACACTGGCCTTACCTCCAAAATCTCTCTACGCGCTTCCACTCCAGGAAGAGGAAAGTACATCTCTTTATCGAACCTTCCTGGTCTGCGTAAAGCTGGATCGATAGCTTCTATCCTATTAGTAGCTCCTATTACTATAAGCCCTGGTTTGTTATCCAGTCCATCCATTAAAGCTAGCAGAGTCGCTACAACGCTGGAATGGATTTGATCAGTTTGCTTGTCTCTGATTGGAGCTAGACCATCTAATTCGTCGAAGAAGATAATGGAAGGCCTTGATTTGGTAGCCTATAAATTAAAAGAATAATTTATTGATGTTTCTGGAAGATTCACATCATGCTGCGACCGCACATGCGGCATTTGGCGGTTTCCAAGCGCTCGCTCGGCGCCGATCTCCGATTAATGTGGACAGGGAAGTTGGAATTCAGCGACTTGATCGGCGACGAAAACGAGTGCTAGTCTCTATGTTCTTGCTATCAGAGAGCGGCGATGCCCGCATGTGTGGACGGAAAGGCGAAGTTGACGAGCGCTCGGAAATCGCCGACTGCCGCATATGTGGTTGCGGAATCATATATACTTTGTCGAATAAGTCTCTCAAGTTTTTTTCTGAGCCTCCAACCCATTTATCCAAGACATCTGCGCCTTTTCTTTCAAAAAATGCCACTTTTCCGATTCCTTCCCTATTTATCTCTGTCGCCAAAGCTGCAGCAATCAAGGTTTTTCCAGTTCCTGAAGGATAAAAAGAGATCATTTTATGCTATGTTATTTTCATTTTTTTTTCAATTTTCATTTTTTTGTTTAACCTGGGACAAAGATATAATCTAGTCGAAGGGTGTTTCACTGTTGGAATTACATGTACAGGGTGGTCGAAATTGTTCTGTTTTAACAGAGAAAGCCTATTTCCTGACTAGATAGAGCAAAACCGACATAGATGTCATGAGCTCGATTTCTAAGACACGTTTAATGGCATATGTTGATATGCAGTCTGTTGATATTTTCACTGCCAACTAAGATACGGGGTCTTTTTGAATTTTTTTCCGTTTTGAAAATTGCCTATAACTTTTTTATTTCGCGGAATAATAAAATTCTGTAAAAACGTTCTTAAGACACTTTTTTAAGCACAATCCAGTGGGGTAATCAGTTTTTTCTATGCTTGCTCTTTTCTTAGAAATAATAAAAAAATATAATTATTTAAATAGAAATCATAGTTGGCTATGAACTTAAAAATGTGCTGACGGTTAACCCTTTCCAACATATACACTTATGGGTATCTATTTCTAAGAATGAAAAGAAATATTAGGTTTATTATCTTTATATCGAAGCGGATCTTGGTATTGTGTTGACCTATTTGCCGAATTATTTTTCGACAATAATTTAATATTATATATTATTATTTATCTGCATAATTAAAGACTTTTGAAAAGGTAAATTAACTAATATTAGTATTAGTAATTACAATTGAAATCGATACAATAAACAAAGAACAAATCCAAAAACGGTATTTTTTGAGTGACGAATATAGTTTTCTAAAAAATTAATTAAAAGATGCTTTAAACTGAGCACCTGCTTGTTGAATACATAATAAACATCTTTACGCACAAAGTTACAACTCAAAAGACCAAATGTTTGCCTAATAGCTTTCTACAATTCTTCTCTCGTCCCAATTGTTTTTATTTAAGTCTTTTAATTTCCTGCGTAAGAAACTCGAAAGAAGTTAAATCACAGGACCTAGCAGGCTAAAATATGGGGCCCCTTCTTCCAACCCAATTCTCTCTAAATTCTCCATTTAATAGTTCAGTTGTAATCCTGGCGTTTTAATTGTAATTGGTAATACTAATATAGAATGTTGACTTACCTTTTCAAAAGTCTTTAATTATGCAGATAAATGATACTACAGAGTATTCAATTGTGATAAAAAATAATTAGGCAACTAGGTCAACACAAAATAAAGGCCCGCTTTGATATAAAGATAACCCCCCCCCCCTAATATTTCTCTCATTCTTAGAAATAGATACCCATAACTGTATATCGTTGGAAAGGGTTAAACACCAGCATTTTTTTAGGTTCATAGCCAACTATGATTTCCATTTAAATAATTATATTGTTTATTATTTCTAAGAAAAAGAGCAAGCAGAGAAAACTGACTGACGCCACTGGATTGTGCTTAAAAAAGTGCCCTAAGAACGTTTTTACAGAATTTTATTATTCCCGCGAAATAAAAAAAGTTATAGGCAATTTTCAAACGGTAAAAAAATCAAAAAGACCCTGTATCTCAGTTGGCAGAAAAAATCAACAGGCAGTTTATGCCATTAAACGTGTCTCAGAAATCGAGCCCATGACATCTATGTCGGTTTTGTTGTATCTAGTTAGGAAATAGGCTCTCTGTTAAAATAGACCAATTTCGACCCCCTGTGTATATATTTTCTTGAAAGTCATTTTATAATACCATTATATAACAGACATAATGAGGCAGTCTTCTTCGCCGTCATTGGCAGTCGTCTGGCAGTACATGTACATTATTTTATACCCCCTAAGTGAGACACCCTCAAATCTAGTTTGCTACCACTTTTGAAATTAACTAAAAAATAAAATTGGCATGGAGAGTATTAGGCTGAATTCGGACTTAGTTTTTATAGAGGTAAATGGGCCTAAATTTGTTATGACTTATTTAAAAACATTAAATGTACCTGGTGGTCCATAAAACAATACTCCTCTAGGCGCTTTCATATTGAAATGAGCAAATACATTGCTATGAAGCAAAGGAATAATGATCACCTCCCTCAAAGTAGCCAAGTGATGAGCCAGTCCTCCAACTTTGCAGAAGTCAATTGGATCTTTCGAGTATTTGGTTCGTTTGGCTGATCGCTGGCCCGAGTGATTCTGATTTTGATTTTGAAGAGACATAGTAATTTATAGAGAACACCGAAACGATTAGATTTAAACTAGATTGTATGGCGTGAATTCTATAACGTTTGATTTTGATTGATCTCTGAAATTGACATTGACAGTGACTTTGCCTAAAACAGGTCAAATATGATAACAAAATTCCACTGTTCCACTGTCTACCATTGCTTTATAGAAATCATTCTTATACAGGGTCCGGCAATAGTGCGTTGGGTATCTGTAGCTCCTAGAATAACAATCTTGAGAATTTTGCTTAAGTGCAAACCTAAAGTATGTACAAGGAGGTATTTCAGGAAAACATTTTCTATAGGGTGGCTCAAAAAAGTGTGAGTGGATTGGGATGAATTTTTTAAACGTACACCCTGTATATTATTGCATTTTTGGCTTCCTTTCATATCACTTTACATCGAGTCAGATATGAGTAAATATATTTCGAGATGTTAATAAATAAACAAAAAAAATATATTTTTCAACCTTCTTTAAAAAAATCAATCTATCTATATTAGGTTTTTACTTTAGATAGTCTATGCTTACTTAGCTATAAATATTGCAATCTTAATTCATACAGGGTGTTCAAAATTCTACGCCAAACTTTCTAAAATATAAAATTATTTTTTTTTGTTTTCTACACCCTGTATATTATTTTTTTATTAGATGGAGAGTTAAAACATAAAGGTTTTTTTGTATTTAAAGTATTCAAATTTTTAACGGTTTCGCAGATACACCCAATCAGTGCCGCAACTAGACATACATTTTTAGGGTTAAATTGTTTTGAGGTTAAAACCAGTTTTAAACGACCCGCACAAGTTAATATTGTTTTGAGGTTAAAACCAGTTTTTAAACGACCCGCACAAGTTGTCTGGGGGAGGAGGGGCTATTAATATCTCTATTAGGTGTATCTTGGTATCACACACTTGGTATTTCGAGAGTCAAATTGTCGATACATTTATGGTCATAGGTATGTAGGAAACCCTAAAATAGTTTGAAAAAGCATTTGAATCTGCTTTGATTTAATTAAAAAAATACAGGGTGTTGTATTTGAAATAACGAAGTTTTTATATAAAATAAATATCTAAAATAGACAAGCAATTTTTGATACGCCTGTATACATTAAACGAAGCAATCAAATTTTTCAATAAAGTTTATTTCTTTGGCTTAAAGGTCAGCACAAGAATTAATTGTGAAAAGCAATGTACAGGGTGTTGACAATTTTTTTTATTATAGCATGCATATTTCAATATCTTTAAATGTCTCAAAAACCAAAACTTGTAAACATATTTTACACTTATAATAAATGCCTTATTTTGTGTCCACGGATCCAAATATGAAATAAAATACCGGGTGCTCCATAAGAAAAAATATAACACTTTGGTGTGTATCTTAGTTCTGACATACCCTGTACATTTCAAAATAATTTTAAATTCGGCACATTACCTTCCCACATATACTCAAAAAATATTTTGTTTCTACATCATTCCTTTTTCGTATAATCAACCGAGGCGAATGAGGTGCGCCACCCTGTATATATATTTTTATCTATTTATTAATATCTCTGAAACTATCGATATAACCTCATATCTTAAGATTATGCATAGTGATCTGAAAGGAAGTCAAAACTACTATAATATACAGGGTGTTCCATTTAAAAAAACATTCATATCCGCTCACACTTTTTTAAGCCACCCTATAGAAGTTAAACTATTTTCCCGAAATACATCCTAGTACATACTTTATGCTTTAGGTTTGTACTTTCCCACAACAAAATTCACAAGTTTTTTATTCTAGGAGCTACAGATGCTCGGCGCGCTATTGCTGGACCCTGTATGAATTCTTTTACTAGTGTTTTTAACCAGGTGAAGTAAAAATTGTGCAAAAGGTTGTTATAAATAAAAAAATTATTATAGGTAATTAAAATTTATTTTTCCTTGTATTTGATAACAGATCAATTGATTGAATAAGTCTTTGACGGTGGCTACTTTTGAAAACAATATTATAATCTGTGACAATATATTTCTCCATTTATAATACGCATGATAAACTTATTATTCTAATCATTAAGTAATCACACACATATTGCAACAGTTCATTACTTAAACTTGTATATATTATTAAAATTATGTTGATATTTACAGTTAGATTATACTGTAATATTAATAACACAATAATAATAATAGTTTATCTTGTAGGAAAGGCGTTTATAAATAAGTATTTAAAATTTTATATGGTAGTCATTACAGACCGTGTGATAGGTAGGTACTATTTTATTATAATGAAATCGCTATGGGTTTTACATATATTCAGGAAGGAAGTATATAAACACCAAGGTACACAAGCTTGCATTGTACCTATTATTAAAGTGCGTGATGCATATTAATATGACGTTTTGCATAAATTATTATTTTCTTATAAAATACCTTATTAGAATTGCAAAAAATATATATTTGATAAAAATTAGTAAGTAAATATAATTACCTAATATCAAAAATACAGATGCGCTACTGGAACAACTAAGTCAAATTGGGCTCAACTTTCGTTTAGCTGAAATCTGTTATATAAAAAATTACTTTATATATGCGTTCTAGAAGGCGTTAGGAGTACAAAAAATATACAAAAATTTTCCTGCGGAAATGCGTCATTTTCATTTTTCGGACTTTAGTATAGCCGAAATCTGTTACATCAAAACTAGTCTTCGGGGTGTGTTTTAGACATTTTTCTAAAGATAAAAACACAAAAAAGTGTCTGAGGAATTTTTTTTATTTTTACTTTACATAAAAAAATGCTTTGACTTTAGAATAGCCGAAATCAGTTACATGAAATATGAACTTATATTTGTATCTTTTATACGAGCCTTTACGAGCAAAGAAATACAAAAAAATTCCTGCGGAAATGTGTACAATGTCATTTTGTGCATTTTGTTTTTCATAAATTTTTCAGTTTAGAAGCTTACGGGACCCGGGAGCGAATAGGGGTGCGGGGTGGGGTAAAACAACTTTTAGAGGAATAACAATTCTTGTAGAATAGATAATATAGGTTCTTGTAAACTATAAGTACCTCGGAATGTTGCACTTATTCTTGTTTTTTTTATTAAAGCTTTACGTAAATAGGGCTGATTCAAAACAAAAAATCATTGGATCATACAGTTTTCTTTTATATTTTAATAGTTAACTGTGATTTTGCAAAAATATTAGATTGGTTAGCATTTGGGTTGTTTTGGTTAGATTTTCTTTGTGGAGGATGTTAAGCTGTGGTTTTTATATTTTAATAATTAACTGTATTTTTTGTAAATATTATTAGATTGGTTAGCATTTTAGACACTTTTTAAATTATTTTTTTTTGGTTCAAACGTGATAGAAAGATAATTTATGTATTTATGCTTACAAAAATGGAAAATGAAAATCAAGCATTTCCGCAGGAAATTTTTTATTTTCCTGAGTTTGTAAACGCTTCTAAAAGGCAAAAATATATTTATTTTTTATATAACTGATTTCAGCTATTCTAAAGTCTATTAAATTTCCTTAGAAAATGGATACAGTTTATTTCCGCAGGAAAATTTTTATTTTCCTCAATTCGTAAATGCTTCTAAAAGGCAAAAATATATTTATTTGTTATATAACTGATTTCAGCTATTCTAAAGTCTAATAAATTTCCTTAGAAAATGAAAACAGCTTATTTCCGCAGGAACATTTTTGTGTTTATATGTTTAGAAAAATATTAAAAATAAAACGCAAAATGTATTTTTTTATAGCAGATTTCAGTTATTCTAAAGTTGCGAAATTTAGAAATTACGCATTTCCGCAGGAAAATTTTTGTAGCTTTTTAAAGACAATTTTTTTTTCTAATAACTGATTTCAGCTAAACGAAAGGTGACACGCAAATTGTCGTAACCTAATTATTTTCCACCAAGTGGTAAATAAATACGAAAAAACAAGATTAACAACACAATTAGTTAATTTTAAACGAAGATTGGTTTACATAATTAAGTAACTAAGTAACTATCCTGAAAGGAGGGAATAACACGCAGGATAACTTTTTTTGAGAATAGTTACTTAAAATAAACTCAAATTGGTAGGAACTCACATGAACGTTAGTTATACCAGGTGTTTTTCAAAAGTGGGTCACCCCCTATAACTTTTTTATTTTTTCAGATAAATAAACGAGATTTGGTACTATTGCTTTTTAAATAGCACCCCCGATTTTTTACTTCATTCGATGGAAAAAATGACACTCTAAGTTGAATGACAATTGAATACAATATATCAACTTTTGACATTCTCGCTTAAAAAAATCGTATTTTAAATTTCAATCAAGAGTGAAAACAAAAAAAATCTGTGTTAAAAACACTAATTTTCAATCAAGGAGCCTTGAAAAAATAGATTTTGTCGTCTAATGTTTTTCGTGTCTTATACTGGCCTCTTAAGAGATTCCTAAATCATATATTTCATTTAGAAAGGTCCATTAGCATATTTGAAAAAAAAATACGAATAATTTGGTAACAAACACTTGTTATTTCGAGTCAAATTGTCGTTACATTTATGGCCATGGCACTTATCTAGATTGAAATTTAAAATACAATTTTTTAAGCAAAAATGTCAAAAGTTGACATATTATATATATATATCATTATAGTCAGAGTGTCATTTTCTATAGAATAAAGTAAAAAAAATACCGAGTCTGCCATTTAAAAATCGAAAGTTGTAGTTTGTAGTAATTTCCGGTAAAACAGGAAGTGACAGAAAACAATTGAATACATCAATCAAAATCAATTCTAATTTATGTCATATACTAATATACCAAATATCGTTAGTTTATGTGAAAATTAAAAGTTATAGGGGCGGAGCCACTTTTGAAAAGCACCCAGTATATAGTGTATACAGAGGCGTAAAAATTGATATTATTTATTTAATTTAACTTAACTAGATAATTTTGCTCTACATACAGAATAAACTAGCGTGTGAAATGAATTACCTAATTTAAACAGATATTTAATTTACCTTACTAGTGAAAATAAGTATAGAATATACTCATAATTTTCGAAAGATCATAACGTCGGTGAAATGTGATAAACTGCTAATTCTATTATTTCTAATTTTAGAGGAGAGCAAAA